TAGGGACAGCCAGAGTAGCAGTGGCCCCACAGACATGCTTCTCTTCGGCAGCTTCTTTGGCATCCCCTAGCAGCAACCCTCACCCCTTCAAGTTTTAGTCGTGAGTCTTTTTAGTAATAGTCATGGACTGATCAGAGGCTGTGAATTTTTGTGTATTGTCCATGCCTATTATTAAAAAGACCTGTGACCTAAATTATAGCCGAGGGCTATTCAACTTTGGAAGCCCCAGGGCCCACAATGATACTCACAGCACATGTCGAGGGCCGCAACTTAAGTGTGGTTGCATATACATGCAAATATACATGCAAATGTATGCAAGTAGCTTCTTTCACACTGATGGGCATGAATACAAAGCACTTCCCACGATGCCCCAGCACTTCTTCCCGGGGGATAGAAATGCCGACACCCTGTACCCTTCTGTTCCAGCCAGCCCATCCGCTTGTGTCTTTCAGTGCTCGCCTGGGAGATGCCTCACCATTGTGGAGCATGTTCCCAGAGGAGGCCATGTTCAAAGGATTCCACCTGTGGGCCGCATCTTGAGCCCCATGTAAACCCAAACCGAACTGCGGGCCGCAAACAAATGGGCCGTGGGCTGCGTGTGGCGTGTTCAGTAGCTCTGTTATAGCCTTAGCCATAAGGCATTTAATGCATCTTGAGCTTCAGTAACATGATTTATTTTTCCCTCAGGCAGGAAGGTAATTCAAAGTGGTGGGTACCTATTTACAATAATTTGACCACGAATGAGCTGGGAGGAGGAAGTGGGGCAGGTTTCCTTCCACCTCTTTATTGCCACAGATTTCTCTCCCTTCAGAGAAGGTGGTGGCCATGTATACTGTGATCACTCTGAGCAAGTTCGAATGAATTATCCCTTCCTGTAGTGTAAGAGAAAGTGATAGGAATCCTGTTATCCTAATTATTGAACTGTAATTGTAACTGCATGTGCCTTGTATAGTCTAGTCACTGACACAATTTCAGACAGAAGTGGCTGGAGCTGTTTGTCAGTTCATCTCACTGGAAACATTCACAGGAGCGAGAAGGAGCTGAGAATATTTTTCCTTAGGTTTCTGACAAGGAAAAATGCCATAAACAAGACAGTCTGAGAGTGGCATAGCTCTTCTGGTTCAGTGAAGAAGTTCATAAAGAAGTGTCTCTGCAGGAATAGTGTTTAAAAAATATCTGGATCTTTGTTTTCAAAACAGGGATGTGGTTGTTTAGAAGTATGGCACCTGCACAATTTAAAATTGTGTCTTTCACAGACAGAAAAGGAATATTGATGAAAGTTTTTAACGAATATCTGGGCAAACTGACTGCCCTACCTCATCCAGTCATATGGAAGCCTGGTGGTACTATGGTGCACATATGTAAGGAATTTGTATTTCATTGCAAAGTTGCTCTCAAAATGATAGTTGTCCTATCATCTTGCTGACCAAGAGGACTTTGGGTGAGCACATGAGGATCTCCTCCATGGAACCTGGGAGGTGAGAGAAGACCAGCTG